AAGAGACACTGATGAAGAGTAAGTCCATATGGGCTCTCAAAATTCTCCAAGAGAAGGTACATCTTGTTTTCTGTATTTTTAAGGGTAAGTAAACAAGCACTGAAGACATGAAGTCTTACATGCTCTAAGCTTTTGGCAAGATCAAAGCAGAAAGTTACTTCTTTTTTTTTTCTTTTTAATCTGTGTCATGTCCAGGCAGGAATTGAAAGGTATCAAGCCATGACAGCAGTGAACATTTGTGGGGCACTTGCATAGATCCAGCTTTCTCCTGCATTTGTATGTGGTAGCTTATGTGTAACCCTTGGCCACCAGTTTTCAATCTTTTACCCCGTTATCACTAGTTCTCTTCTGGGGTTGAAAGCCCCCACCCTAGTGTATCCTGTGTGTGTGTGTGTGTGTGTGTGTGTGTGTGTGTCCGTGTGTCCCATAATTAAAAACACTTTAAAGGAATTGTTCAGCTTTGTAATGATATGATTCCTAGTGTATCTTGTACAGCTCTCTTACCTTTCTGATTTGCTCTGTTCAGCTCATGATTTTGGTGTGTGTGGTGGTAATGAGAGAGAGACTACAACAGAGAATGGTTCTAGGCCAAGCGTGCCAAGAACTCACACCTTAGTGAAGCATGACTTTGAAGGACTGATCCCCCTGCCACTGGCTCCCACATGTTTCTGCAGTTACAGACCTGAGTCACCACACCAAGTTTACAAGGAGCTGGACAGGGGGCCCAGTGTTTCATGCATGCCAAGCAAGAACTCTACCAACTGACCTACATCCCTAGCACCTCACCTTGCTTGGAAATTAGTCTTGGCGTTTGCTCTCAGCCACAACTGCACTTGGGTGTTTGTCCTATAGGTTGTAGTGAGCCTGATTTTTCATTTGGACATATTAATTATCAGTGGCCTTGCTTACCCTGGAGGGACTGTCCCTCCTAGGGTTAATTAATTCCTAGACATAATAATAACAGGTTGTGTTTCATATGCAAACCAATCAGTCCAGAGCTCCAGTTACTTCCTTTCTTAGCCACTATGATACTTTTCTAATCGTCCTGGGCCAAAGCAGGATGAGAAGAGAAAGTGCCTACATCCCAAGAAAGTGCCTGCATCTCAGAGGCCACTGAAGTTATTCAAACCAGTAATCATAAGCATTTTGCCCATTCTTCCTCATGGAAACAACAATAACAATCTCTGAGCATCATTTGTTCCTCATCCCTCCTGTCATATAGCCAACCTGGATGCTGCCTTCTCTGCTGCTACAGGGGCTGTGAATAAACAACTATCTTCTCATTAACAATCACCTTTTGACCTATTGACCCCATGATTGTTCAATATGAATAAAAACTGCTTTTCAAAGCAGTAATGTCATTTGGGATTTACGACCTTCTGATTAGGTTGAGCTTCTTTTTCTTCTTCCTTTCTTCTTCAACAGAGCAGAAACTCACCCATTTCAACACTTATATTTTGTTTAAAACAATGTATTGTAACTCTCTCTCTCTCTCTCTCTCTCTCTCTCTCTCTCTCTCTCTCTCTCTCTCTCTCTCTCTCACACACACCCACACACACACACACAACGCACACACAAATAATTTGTCTGGTATAATAGACAGACAAAGCTTCAAATCCCTCCTGATGAGTCTGACCATTATAAACAACCAGAGATCCCCAGTCATTCTACATGTAAAGTTAATGCCTGTAGTAGTTTGAATGTAATTGGCCCCCATAAGCTCACAGGGAGTGGCACTACTAGGTGTGGCTTGGTTGGAGTAGTATGGCCTTGTTGGAGGAAGTGTGTCACTGTGGGGATGAGCTTTGAAGTCTCATATATCCTCAAGCCGAGCCCAGTGTTCTAGTTCACTTCCTGTTACCTTTGAATCAAAATGTAGAATTCTCAGATCCTTCTCCAGCACCTTGTCTGCCTGCACACCACCTTGTCTTGCCGTGGTGATAATGGAATAAATGTCTGAACTGTAAGTCACCCCAAATAAATGGTTTTTTTTCATAAGAGTTGGTGTGGTCATAGTGTCTCTTCACAGCAATAGAAACCCTAAGACCACGGCCCGCTGACCAATACCACTGTACTGCAGGTTCTACTGTGTGATTTTGTCCATCTCAAACTACAGCATCTATGGGCTTCAGACAGCCATAGAAGGAACAATCTAACTCATCTCTCGTCATAACTATCATTGCCTATAAGAGACCATCACATCCATTTTCAGACCGTGGGCCAGAAGGCATCATCTAATCCAGCCAGCTGTAAGGCAGATCATAAAGTATCATGGAGTAAGCAGACATGCAGTGGAGACTATTGCACTAGCACTTCCACCAGTCTGGAGCTTTTTTCCTGAGGAACTATCCTTACATTCTGCCATCACGGCTGAAGGTACACAAAGCAGTCATAGGCATTGTGTTAAAAACAATCAGTTATGTTCATCAATTTTGAATACATGAATACTCTAAGAACCCAATCTTTCTAGTTACGAAGGACATCAACATATATTTACTGGTAGAATGTCTTCTTTGGTTACTTATACTTTAAAATATAAATGACTAAAATTGGAGTTTACTTTTTTAACATAATCACTTTTGGGGGCTAGAGAAATGGCTCAGGGGTTAGAGAACTGCCTGCTCTTCCAGATTTGATTCCCAGCACACACATTGTAGCTAACAACCCTCTGTAACCCCAGTACTATGAGATCCAATGTCTTCTTTTGGCCTCTGCAGGCAATGCATAAAAATGGTACACAGACATAAAAGTAGGCAAAGTATCATACAAATGGTGAACAAACATACAAGTAGGCAACACACACACACACACACACACACGCACACACGCACGCACGCACGCACGCACGCACGCACGCACGCGCACACACACACACACACTTTCTTCTACTTCCTGAGCTCTGGAATTGCAGAAGTGAGTCACATACACAGCTATAATACACTGTGGTAGTTTGAAAGAAAATAGCACAATTAGGAGGTACAGCATTGTTGGGGGAAGTGTGCCACTGTGTGTGGTGGGCTTTGAGGTCTTTTCTCATGCTTCACTCAGTGTGACAGGCAGCTGACTCCCTTTGCCTCTGAGTCAAGATGTAGGACTCCCAACTCCAGCACCATGTCTGTCCGCACGGCACCATGCTCCCCATCATGAAGATAATGGGCTGACCCTCTGAAACTGTAAGAGAGCCACCCCAGTGAAATGTTTTCTTTAGAAGAGTTGCCCAGTTCATGGTGTCTCTTCACAGGAACAAAAACCCAAACTAAAACATACACTCTCTAACTCCCCTCATAGATTCCCTTCAAAGAGAGCTTTGGATGTGACAATGCCTTGCAGTTTCATAGATTACTTTCCAAAGAGCAATGAGAAGAATTTTTAAATAGAGATAATTTGTTATTTTCAGATTAATGTTGTCTTAGTAGTCTGGAAACAGTGAATATACTGAACCAATGGTTATTTAACCTTGGCCTAGTTAACAGGATACTGAAGACAAAGAAATAAATGTGAAAAACATGTCTCCTAGGCAATTCTATCCCTGTCATATTCCATGAAATGATATATACATTTTACTGATTTTGTTCTTGTTTGTTGCAATGTTGTGGTTTGCCACTTTATATATTAAATGGATTTAGAAATAGGCTCTTTACCATGAACTAAAGGGAAATGCAACCTGTGTTAAGATCTCATCCAGTGAACTCAACAGAGAAACACTGTATTATAAATTAAAACAAGAAGGAAAAGTGATCAGTTATAAGCAGAGAGCACAACAGGTCTGTAAGTAGCATCAGTGATATCTGAAAACATGGCATTTGTGGACTCCCATTCAAACCATGCTTTGCACATTGCTGCAATGCCTGATTCAGATTCCCAAACTAAGGATCCAGTGCATTGCCCATTCTAGCTCCCTCTTATCTGAGAGCAGAAGGTGAGGGGAAGTTAAAGGGAAGTGGGTTCCAGCAAACCACCAACAGGGTCTCTGTGATGGCCACATGCTAATTTCTTGCTAAAATCTAAAAAGTATAATTAATTACATATTCTACATCTGAGATCCCAAAGACAATAGGAGCCAGCCAGACCTCCTGGGCATGACAAAATATTTAATTGGAGTGTGTTGTTCATTCAGATTTCTGTTTTCTATTGTTTATAATAATAGCCCATATGACCACCAACAGATTCAAGAGAATGTGGGTCCAAATGGCCAGGGAAAGTATTTTGATTAAGAGTCAAAATTTAGTAGTCATACAGTCAATTACTTAGCCATCAGTACACACAAATACAATAAATTCTAAATTTAGAGAGATGGGCTTCATCCTCAATACGTCTGTCATGGTTAGGTTTGGGATTTTGTGAGCCACAAATACGATGTTGCAACAGCCAGGATGTGACAAGTTGGCAGGAAAATAAAAGGCAGTCATGATACTGAGTATTATAGGTGGCCAGGTGTCAGGTCCCAAGCCTTCACACAATTGAAAATGATTAGAGAATATTCCCCCTTGATAAAGGTTCAGGGCACAAGATGCTGTTGAGCCCAGCAAAGGCAACTTTTCAACTACAGCTAAGGGAAGGTTAGAGGGACCTAAGTAATAGAAAATAGCCAAGACGGATTTTGAAGCTTCCAATCAAATGTAACAAAGTGCATTCTTTTTCCTGGGGATTGTGGCCAGGTGAGAGACCAGCTTATGAAGGCAATCTCTGTGTGACATGATTTATATGGAGGCTCTCACAACTGCATACAATGGCATACCAGACAAGTTATCTGGTTGTCTAAATGAGATGGTTACAGGATGGGAAGTAAACAAGATCGTATGTGTGAAGGAACAAATCACAGCCTTCTGCAGTCACATACTCAACATTTAATCTCTAAATTATCCCAACCTGAGAAACCATTGCTTTTATTACTGTGGAAGGAGTGGTGCGTAGCTGAATGTTCTCCCCTCCAGGGAGTGTACTGTCCCCAAGAGGCCATGGAAAGTGGCTCATTGGGTCTTTTCTCTGGTATAAGATCATTGACAGTGCCAGATATAATGTTTATTATCTCCATACAATTATATTAGAAAAATGACCAACAAAAGGAGAAGGAGAGGAAGAGGGAGAAGGAGGAGGAGAAGGAGGAGGATAAAAAGGAGAAGAGTGGGAGGGGGAATGGAGGGGAGAAAGAGAAGGAGGAGGAAGAAGAAGAGAAAAAGGAGGAAGAGAATGAAGAGGAGGAGGAGAAGGAAGGGGAGGAGGAGGAGAGAGAGAATGGAAATAATAAAGGGGGAGCAGACAATCCAAGCATGTTCTTATGAGAGAAGTTCTATTTTGATGACATTTTTTCTTCTGCTAAAGCCAGGGATGACATTCAATATTCAAAACAGCCAATGTGGGCTGAGTACAGAACAGTCTAAATGCATGAAAAGCAACCACAGTCACAGAGTGAGTGCACATGGGTACAGCCCAGGTAAGGGCTGTGACTTCTAAACAATACACACCCTGTTCCCTTTTTGAACAGAGGGAACTGCAAAGAGCCAGGTTTGTTTTACAGAATCAGATGAAAAAAAAAATGTGAAAATTCCTTTTATCTCTGTCACCCTTCCTGTGGTTTCTTGTTGCAGGGGTTTCCAGACTCCTGGCAATCATATTAGATTCAACATATCTACATAAGTGTGCTCCCCTCACACCGAAGAACACGCTGGACCCAGGTTTGGTGAAAGGCAGACAGTCAGTCCAGCTCAGTGTGTCCTCTGCCCCAAGGTGACTTTAAGTGCTCCAGACTCCACAGGCACAGATATGTATTTAGAGAAGTGTATCTGCCATGGACTGGGGCAGTCGTCAGCAGGCATTCCACCTTCATGGAGTCCTTGCTTCTTCAGCCTCCTCCCTATATGTTTAACTGGAACAGAAAGCCAACGCTTGTCACAGAATCATGGCTGATAAAAGTCCACTTTCCAGGACACTGATGTGATAAATCTCTCAAAAGAAAACAGAGAGGGGGCCCAGCCTGTGTCACACTCCACTAGCATTCTCCATGCCAACAGAACCAACAACAACGCAACAATGACAATTCCTGTTAGTATTTTTGTTGTTGTCATTGTTGCAGAGAAATGTAGATTTCACTGTGTCAGTATTATCAGTTGTCAAGAGTCCTGAAGGGAGAGGCATCTTGCAGTGTATCAAAGGCTGCTCAAGTTTCAATTCTTTTGCCTCAGCTTCTCAAGTGCTGGGCCTGCAGTCTAGTGGCTCTACCCCTGGTTAGGACAATTACTGACATTCACTGAAACACTCCTCCTCCAAGGCCTTCTTAGAACAACATTTGGGTATAGTTTCCTCTCCGTCTCCATGGGTAATTGGTCCCACTACTCTCTCTGTTATTCAAATCAGCAAATATTCAAATGCATTATATACGACAGAATCATGTTTACATGTAGTCTATACACACCCGCTTGTTTGCTTTCAGTCATCTCTACATTGCTTATAATGCCTAATACAATGTTCATATTATGTGCATAGTGTTTGTGATGCATTGCTTTGTAAGTCATGACAAGGAAAAATGTTTTGAGCAGATGTAGTTTTTTTTTTTTTTTTTTTTAAAAAAAAAAAAGATCTGAAGATGGTTAAATCCACAGATAGGGAAACATAGGTCCTGAGAACTGACCGTATACACATTGAAGAATTAGTAGATACTATTCTCTAATGAAATCATCAAGCTAACTCCATATAAAGACATGCCTATACATACAAAGCTAGATACAGTGGAGTGGTGGCAACCAATGGGTAGCCTGGGCATCTTGGATCACTTTGCTATATTCCACAGGCTTCTGAACCTTATCTGTTGTATAATGGCAATAACACCCAGATGCTGAGTTCTGGGGAGCAGTAAATAGTGTCCACTTAAAGTTCCTAAGAGCAATATGTATGCTAAGCTTTGCACAACAGGTAGCAAGTGGGATCTGTCTCCAAAATGAAGACACAAAGGCCGTTTTATTCTAACAACTTGGCTTACTAATCACCAGAGCTTTTCAAATCTTGTTTCATTTTATAAAAAAAATATTTATGATTTACATAATTGCTCATTATTGCAGAACCATTCACAAGGCACTTTGTAAGAAATAACTCCTTGTGAGACCCTGTGCTGTCATTGAGAACATGAGGAGGAAAGGAATACAGTACCCACCATCAGAAAGCTTACAACTAGTTTGACAAGACAGACTGAAGGGACACGAGCCCACTAGAGCATGTGACTCTACCAGGCCTTGCCCTTCTCCCCAGTGCCCTCTGCCTTGAAAAAAAAGGAGGGCTGGAGCGATGGCTCAGTGGTTAAGAGCACCAACTGCTCATCCAGAGGACCCGGGTTCAATTCCCAACACCCACATGGCAGCTCACAACTGTCTGTAACTCCAGTTCCAGGGGACCTGAAGCCAATGCACATAAAAGAAAGCTTAATAAAATACTATTTAAGAAATAAGTTCTTAACTTTAAAAAAAAAACCTTAGATTACATTCCTAAAGCTACCCACCAAGGTCTATTTCCTTATTTGGCTACTTCCTCCTGCTGAGGCCACTGCCAAGGTGTAGCTATCAAAGTATTCAAGTCCAGTAACCAAAAGCCCCCTTTGGTTCACCTAATTAAGATACCCAAACAAATACACCATCTCATTCTTAACCCATTCTAACAGAACCCCTCCCATCTTCTTAAAAATTATACCTGTGGGACCATTTCAGGGTTAGGAAGAAACCTGGTGCCAGGAAAACTCCCAGGAATCCACAAGGATGACTCCAGCTAACACAAGAGTGGACAGGGAGCTGGAACTGGCCATCTCCTGTAATCAGATGGTGACTACCCTAATTGTCATCAGAGACTCTTTATCCAGTAACTAATGGAAACAGATGCAGAGGTTCACAGCTAAGCACTGGGCTGAGCTCCAGGAGTCCTCCTGAAGAACGGAAGGACTGATTGCATGAGCCAGGGAGTCAATGTCATGACAGGGGAACCCACAGAGACAGCTGACCTGAGCTCGTGGGAGCTCATGGACTCTAGACCTGCAATTAGGGAGCCTGAATGGGACCAACCTAGGCCCTTGGCATGTGTGTGATAGATGTGTAGCTTGATTTGTCTGTAAGGCTCCTAGCAGGTACCTATCCCAGGCACTTAGCTGGCTTTTGGGAACCTGTTCCCAATGCTGGATTACCTCACCCAGCCTTGATGTTGGGAGAGGAGAGGAGGGATGGGCAACCATGGTTGGTATGTAAAATAAATGAAAAAATGTTAATTAAATAATATAAAATAGCATTGGTGGCGCACACCTTTAATCCCAGCACTCGGGAGGCAGAGGCAGGTGGATCTCTGTGAGTTCAAGACCAGCCTGGTCTACAAGAGCTAGTTCCAGGACAGTCTCCAAAGCCACAGAGAAACCCTATCTCGAAAAACCAAAATAATAGTAATAATAATAGTAATAATAATAACAATAATAACAATAATAATAATGATGATAATAAAATAAAAATTACATCTGCAAGGTCATTTGCTGTTTTTATGAATCAGAAAGCAACAACTTTAGCTTTTCTTCTGTGCTTAGTAAAGGCTCTCAGTGCAAACAGGTGTTTGGTTGTGGTTTGTGCCTAACCCCGGGTCCAGAAGGTGTGTGTGGGGATCTTTCACAGCCCTGTACAATCACATGACAATGCAGAGAGTGAATTCAGTAAGGACACATACAAAGAGTGGGAAAACCCACACGAGAAGATGAACTTTCCAGGTACCCCACGCAAGCACTGAATAATGGTATTGTGTACTCAAAAGTTACAAGCTAGCACGTAGATCTACACTCAACATACTGTTGTGTGACAAAACTTCCTGATGAGATCCAACATACTCATCTACCCATCCCAGATAGGGAAGCCATCACAGACCCAAAGTGTGGACACCACCAAAGTCCTTGGTGAGCCAATGAGTTTACTGGGGTTACTTAGAGGAGCAGAAATGACTAAAACACAGCTGCATCACCAAGGCCCACCCCAGCATGGATGATAGCTCACAGAAGCTTGGAACCTGCATCAGGCTGCAAGGCCTACAGGCAGCTCAAGAGGTTGGAGAGTGTCCTTCCAAGTGACCCTGATCTAAAACTCTTCCAGGCAGCCGGTCTACTCTCAGAACCTTTGTGGCAGCTTTGCTTGTCTGAAAGTGACTCTCAGTGTCTTTATTGCAGGGAGGTTCTTAGAGAATCTGCTCAGCTTCAGGAACTTCCTGAAACCATTTTGAATCATTTGCCTTCCTATTTAAGGAGCTTCCTGCAGATTTAAATGTTTCCATCTAGGAGGAAAGTGTTACACAGCACATACTCATTTTTTAAGCTTTCTGCCCACAGTAAAAGCCCAAAATTCGATCTTACTCATAAGGTTAAATTAGACTCTTGTTTTAGAATATAGCAGTTTGACTTTGGAAAGTCAGCTTCAGGGTTTTCTCCAACATTGTTTTTCTGCTTAATGAGAGCCTATGAATTGTATTGTCTTTGGCGAAAGGTCACATGCCCCCTATTTGTTGGCTGAGCACAGGCTAGGCTCCGTCCTGGGCAGTGGTTATGTGTGTTCTGATCCCTTAGCACAGGGATCCCTATCCTAGCCATGGCTGCAAGGGGCTGGAGACTGGTGTGACTGGCCACACCCACTAGGGCCTGGTCCGGGTGAGGTGAGGAAAGTTTAAGAGTAAGGGTCACACACATGGAGCTTCCTTTTTAGCTTGTTCTACTTACCTTACTCCCTGCGGGCTGGCTAGGCTGTTCTAACTAAGTAGGGCACTCCTAAATAAATATCCTTCTATCCATACCTGACTCGGTATTGGTATTTCTTTAGGATGGTGTCACTGTATTCAGGGCACTGATCCTTCTTTTGTGCTGTGTGTGAAACTCTTCCCAGAATACCAACACACACAGCTGATGTTTGAGGATCTCTGCATCTTCCCTCTGGCCTTTGCTTTAAGCTATCTCATCCATCCATTTGATTTCAACAGTCTCCTAAAGACATGTTGATGTCCCATTCTTAAGTACCCTCCTGAACACCACTTAAAGAAGACTCAGAGAGTGGTCCTGGATTCAACAGGTTTGTGGTCGAAGGAGAGGTTGCCATCTTAATATCATGTCTCTTCAAATGCACAGCATCCCAATTATTTCACTAGTAATAACATCCCTTTGGAAATCACCATCTCCATACAGAGTTCTAGGTAGGGGCTACGTCCCAGCCTTCTCCAGCCAAAGATTTTCAAATAGTCTGGATTTGTAGCCTCTCCATTTCCAGGCCCAGGAACTCGCCCCATTCATGGCTCTGTAACCTGGCCCTCCTCTCATTCTCCCTCCATTCCTTCTTAATGCATTGGAAAATTACCATTATGTTATCCCCACATATTCTCTCTTCAATGACTTGTAGTATATCTTTCATTCTCAAATCCCCTAACTTCTTAATATTTTAGGGAAGCGGTTAATATTTTAAGGCAAGCTTCTAGTTTCTCTTTCAAGAAGCCCAGGGACTGCAAAGTGAAAACCTGCCTTTTCACTACAATTGTTTCTGAAATTAGCTTCAAGAACAAATTTTGGATTTCAAAACATGAATATTTCATCCTTTGTTCTTGTCTGAGTTCTGCCTCCCCTTGAAGCAATGGATGCCATGACTCAACAGGAGAGATGGGCGGTGCTGAGAGATCTGTGGTACAGAAGGAAAGTACAGGGAAGATTTGAAATACAATCCTGCCTTCGTGGACTCCATTGTTTAAAATATTTTAATTCTTAATTCCAGAAGACCAGAGAGCAAAATGGCACTGAACACACCTGTTCTCTAACTTACCTTTACTATCCAATGGCCTAGAGCTCAGAGCGGGAATATAGAAGTCAGGGCATCCCCAAACAGAGAGCTGCAGCATAACCCTGATACACAGGGTGAGTGAATATCCTGACTTCAGCAGAAAGAGGGATTCCCACTGTGTGCAGTAAGCTCGGCTATTCTGCAGAGGAATGGGGAGGACAGTGGGGGAGGTTGATGTGAATAAGAGAAGCCAAGGGTATTTTTAAAATCTATATGACTTCCTGAGGGCCACCATCAAAGAGTACCCAGTTGGAGTTTTTAATACCAACCCTACATAATAGGAGCCATTGTTCCAGAGTTCTACAATGCACTAACTGTTATCCTCCCATTATCTTATTTGTTGTTCTGTGAGAAATGGTTATAGCAAGCCAATTTCCCCTTGATGACCCTGAGGCTCATTCACTTTCTTAAAACCATAGAGTAGCAGAGGTGGAAAGCAAATTCAATCTGCTCCTTGCTCTGCAATAGAAGCTCTATTTATAGTCTTTGTTCTTACAAGGACCACCCATTTCTTCTCCTTTTATAGCTGCTATCCCAGTCTTGACCCCATGGGCTTATAAGCATTTGCTCAAAAATACCCACAAACTGCCAATTTCACTAACTGACACAGGCTTCACTGTCCACTGCACATGGTATGGCTTGCTTACCACATTCTTTATCAAGCCATCAAATCTTCATTCCAGTGTCATTCATCTATCCTCTGAAGTGCCCTCTGTGTTGGGAAGGACCATATATGTATGTGAGGTGTATATGCACATGTGTATGTGTGTGTTCGCACACATACACACACATCTCTGACAGAGGCCAGAGGAAGATGTCTTCTGTCTTTCTCTACCATGGTCTGCCATGCTCCTCTGTTGGCAGGGTTTCTCACTACACCTAGAGCTCCTATGTTTTGCTAGGCTGTCTACAGCAAGCCCCAATAACCCTTGTTTCCCTAGCCCTCGTGTTTGGGGGTCACAGGCATGTGAGAGACTACTCTGCTTTTTACATAGGCCTTGGGATCTGAACCCTGGCCCTCATGTTTGCACAAGTGGTCTTAAGTGTCCCTTCAGTTTTGAAGACACTTACACCCTTCCTCCAGAGATCTGCTCATTTAGTAGTTACTGTTTATTCTCTGAAGATGTCTTCCTTTGTTACTTTCCAAATTCATTCCAGTTGTCTGTCTCAAATTCCCTAAGGTCCACATAGTTGCATGTAAGAACCTTCTTCCAAGGAAAGGGGCTAGTACTTGGGTCAAATCTCACCACCATTCTTGGCCAAGTGCCCTCTCAACTGACTTTTTTCTTCCTAGTGGGCTGCTTTGGTCATGGATATGAGGACTTTTACATTATTTTATTGTATCTTACTTTGTCCTGTTTCTTGCCCAGGGATATGAGGACTTTTACATTATTTTATTGTATCTTACTTTGTCCTGTTTGGCTCTCATCCCTTGGAGGCCTGCTCTTTTCTGAAGAAGAAGCAGGAGTGGGGTGTGGTGAAATGGATCTGGGGAGAGAGGAGGTGGAGGGGTGGGAAGGTGGTGGGAAGGGAAACTGGTCGGGATGTGTTGTATGAGGAAAGAACATATTTTTAAGAAAAAGAAAAAGAAAGAAGGCTATATATGAATGATAATTAACTTTTGTACATAAGAATCCCTAAACAGGATAGCTTACAGCAGTATTTACTTGTTTAGCTTACAATTCTGTAGGTCAGCAGTTTGGGTTGGGCATAGCTGAGAATGTCCTGTTTCAGCTGGATTCAGTGCAGCTCTGGTCACCTACCACTTCAGCTGGGAACTGGCTCTTCAAAAATGAACTCAACTAGATGACTGCCCAGACAGGCTCATGGAATGGTTGAGCAGAATCTCAAAGTTTTATCCTTAGAACTCATCATGTACTACAATTTCTGTCACATTTTATTAACTAAAACAAATTTTAGAGCCAGCCAACAATCCAAGATTGGATAAAGAGACCTCATCTTTTTAATGAGAAATGCTTTTATATTACAGAATAACAT